AAAATTAATTCCTGATAACTTCGACGGTGACCGGTACAAATTGCGAAGCTTTATTAAACAGGTAGATATAGCATTCGAACTAGCCAAACCCTTCCAGTTCCAACCGCTTCTAGCATTTGTGAGAAACAGAATAACCGGAAAAGCGAGAGAACAAGTAGATATCCATTGCAACTTGACAACCTGGGCGGAAATATCCGAGCTATTGCTAAATTTATATCAAGACGGGAAAAGTTTAGATCAATTATTAGAAGAGCTAAGTAGCATGAGACAAGAACGAAATGAAAACGTAACTCAGTTCTACGAACGATTAGAGGAAATATCATCAAGAACTCTCGGTGTTCTTCATTCGTCAGACGTTAACGAGGATACGCTCGCAGGTAGACTCGCTATGATAAACGAAATCACTCGAAATAGATTTATTTACCATACACACCCTCGAATCTCCCAGATGCTTCGATACCGCGAATTCAGAACTATAAGTCAGGCTTTCACCGCGGCGGTAACTGAAGAAAAAATACTAGGATTGCAAAATTCTTATACTACGCGACGTTGTGAAACTTGTTTCGGGATTAATCATTTTACTAGCGAGTGTTACAAAAATACAATTAGACGCCCCCCTCATTTAAACATGAGACTAACTAGCTACAACAGCAACACCCAAGTTTCATCAAATTCCAGCCCTTCTTATCCTAACCAAAACACGTTTAGCCCGGCATCAAACCCAGTGCCACCCAATTACATGAAACAGTGTAATTATTGCAAAAACTTCGGACACATCATCAGCGAATGCCGTAAAAGACAATATAATAATTCTAGAAGGGCTCAAGCACAGAACCCCTCCAGTTATTCCGTTCCTGTCAACAGTAACGCGAATTTTCGAGAACAAAATTTTCGCAACGAACTACACACGTCTCACCCCCCAAATCAGCCCACCCAAACGCAGTCACATCCTGTCAACCAAATCACACATCAATTCGACAAATTCCTCATGTAACAGTTTTCAACTCTACCGGAAACGAATTAATATACGTCCTATTTGACTCCAAGGCATCGAATTCTGGTGATAAAGTATTCAAATTCCTTGTAGACTCTGGCGCCTCGATCTCATTAATCAAAGCTTCGAACCTAAGCGACTACAAAATAACAAATCCTACTCCGATATCCTTGAACGGAATTTCCCCTAATGCGCCAATCCTAAGTCTGGGAGAAACGAATATAGAACTCGGAATTCGTGGCAGAAATAACAGTGTCCCATTTCATGTAATCGATTCACCAACTAACATCCCTTTCGACGGATTACTAGGAGGCGACTTTCTCAGATCCTTAAAATGTAAAATCGATTATAAAAATTCTACTCTTTCTGTCGCAACGATCCCATTCCAAATTCCCTTAGGTTATAATATCCCCCAAACATCCAGCAGCATGCTAACTATTCACCCTCGTACGGAAACAATTATTCCAATTAAACTAAAAAACCCACATAACCTTTCCGAGGGAATCGTGACCTCTCAAAAACTAAATCCCGAGGGTTCACTTCTCGTTCCAAGTGCTATTGTGTAGACCCAAGGAGGAAACCGTGCCCTTATCACAATTGTTAATACACATATAGAGGAAAAACAAATTCCAATCCCCGAACTGCTCCTAGAACCCATACCGCAAGAAGGAAAAATCTATCAACTAGCTCCTGAACTAGAAAATAACCAACAAAAAAATAGACTGCAGTCCCTGACAGCAAATATCCGCCTCGATCATTTAAATTCCGAAGAACGGGCTTCTATTGAATCTATTTGTACCGAATTCAACGACATATTTCATTTACCGACAGACGTATTAACCCATACCACAGCTTGCACTCACGAAATTAAAACAGTTGACGAACAACCCATTCATGTAAAAAGTTATAGATATCCGAAAATTCATAAGAAGGAAGTCGATAACCAAATAGAAAAAATGTTACAACAGGGAATAATCAAACCTTCTAGAAGCCCATGGCCAAGTCCCTTATGGATAGTTCCAAAAAAATCTGATACCCTCGGCGAACGCAAATGGAGAGTAGTGGTCGACTACCGGAAGTTAAACGAAAAAACCATTGGCGATGCGTATCCACTCCCAAATATAGAGGAAATTTTGGATCAATTAGGCCACGCAGTTTACTTCACAACCCTAGATCTCGCAAGTAGTTATCATCAAATCCCTATGAACCCTCGTGACTCTCCGAAAACAGCGTTCACCACACCGAATGGACACTACGAATTTACAAGAATGCCATTCGGTCTTAAAAATGCCCCAGCTCGTTTTCAACGCATGATGAACAACATTTTCTCCGGTTTCAATAATAGGCAATGTCTTATATATATAGACGACTTTATAGTATACGGATCAAGCCTGGAGGACCACAATAGGAAATTAAAAAATATCTTTTCTAGATTGCGCGAATACAATTTAAAATTACAGCCAAGTAAATGCGAGTTTTTAAAGAAGTCCTGTGAATACCTCGGCCACGTAATAACTGATAAAGGCGTAGAACCAAATCCTAAGAAAATCGAAGCAATCAAAAACATGCCGCGTCCAGAAAACCAAAAGCATATTAAGATGTTTTTAGGTATGGTAGGATACTATCGGAAATTTATAGACAATTTTTCAACAATCGCTAAGCCATTGACCTCATTACTAAAAAAGGATGTAAGTTTTGTCTGGTCACGAGAACAGGAAGAAGCCTTTAAATTATTAAAAGAAAGCTAATTAACAAACCCCTCTTACAATACCCAGATTTTACCAAACCATTTACCATAACTTGTGACGCTTCAAACGTAGGAATCGGTGCAGTCCTATCACAGATAGAGGATGATAAGGACTTACCTGTAGCATATTACTCGCGTACGTTAAACAAAGCAGAGCAAAACTATTCGACAACGGAAAGAGAATTATTGGCCATAATTAGTTCGATTGAGCACTATAGACCGTATTTATTTGGACGAACGTTTACTGTATACTCCGACCACAAGCCACTCTGAATCGTACCGTCGCGGCGGTACTGGCCAGGTAGTCGCGTGAGTTTTCTTTTAAACTCTGAGGGGTTGTAAGGCCCTCTTAACCCTCGTGGTACGCGGGTTCCTAGCCGTCGCTCGCCAAATTAATTTTGAGCGACTATTTAATTGCCGGATTGTTTCGAATCGAAATCCGGCTGTTCTCTTTAATGTCGAATCACGAGTTGTTGCTCACGAACCGCTTGAGCTGAGTTTTCGCGAAATGATGTTCGAACAACGAATGGTTCACGAGACGATTGAAATTTCTAAGCTGCGATTTCTTCGAAGATCGAATGACGAGTGTTCCCGAAACGATGGAACTGCAGATTTTCGACCGTTGTCTTCGAACCTTTTGAGTCGAGTTAAAGATTTCGATCGTTGTCTTCGAACATTTAGCGACGAGTTAAAGATTTCGATCGTTGTTGTCTGAGATTTCAGCGACGAGTTAAAGAAGATTTCGACCGTTGTCTTCGAACATTTAGCGACGAGTGTCGAAGTGTCCGGAGCCCGTTTTCTCCTCGGCTCGAACCCCCTCCGAGACGCGATTTTGGGGGTTCGTCAACCGATTCGCGTTGACTTTTTCCGTTTATCGATTGGCCATCGACTTGGGGGAGGAGGATCGATTTTCCTGCCCCGTTGGCCAGGAAACTCCTCCCTCGCGCGATCGTGGAGGAGGAAGAGTCCCATCTCACCCTGGACGAGGGTGACCGAGGTTTCCTCCCCAAGTCGAAGGCCTCGTTAATTTTGCCGAGAAAAAAACGGGACTCCGAATTACGCCTGGCTACACGTGCGTTGCAGACGTTTTACGGCTGCATTGTTCCATGAGTTGGCGACGGTTTTTGTAGAGGACCGTGCCACCCGCGGAACAATGCAGCCCTTCGTCGGTCAATTCGGGCCTTGCACTTTCGAAAAGCTAAAGTGCACCCTCACTATAAAGCCTACCCGGCGACCGTTTGTACGGGGACCGTATGTGGTAGGCGGCGTGAAGAGTGGGAGGCGCTTTGAACACGAACTCCGCCGGTGGGTGTACGGTCGACTCGTACACCAACGGGTTTTTCGGATAGGGTTCGCAGTGACCTTTGCACGGAGAGCTCTCCACGAGGCGGTACCGAACTATCGGTAGGACCTTTGGGAGGCTCCAAAGCCGTATAGCTTTAAAGGGATTCTAGGTGCGTGCACCCTGAGTCCCTTACGTCGCGGTCGCGGCAACGACTGCAACGTACAATCAACTTCTCGCGTCCGCGGTCACGTCACGCGCTGCGTGCACTAGACCACTTCCTTCGCTTAAAGAGATTGTTCTTTTTTGAAATCTCAAATCGCAGCAACGATGAGAATTCTTTACAGAGTCCAAAATTTATTTCTTGCCGAGAAGCGTTTTGCTTGCTCGGCGGAGCGCGTACTTTGAGGAGCGAGATCGTCTGGGATCCGCTCCCGTTGGCAGTCGGCTCGTGAATAATTTCCAAAATCGTCGAGCATCGACAGACGAAGACTCGGTCGCGCCTCGTCGTCGCGACGTGGCGCTGTCGAATCTGATTGTCGATCTCTTTTCAATTAACGATACGGTTCTCTCTCTCGATGCTGACGTCACTATGCCGTTTAAATGGCGTTTGAAGCGAATCTTCGCGTGAGGTCAGCGTACAAAACACGTAAACGGCCGCGGTTTTAAACTGTCTGTACGCCGAACGAACTCGGCGACAGCCTAACCTTCCGGAATGTCACGTACACAAACGGATACGGGACTCGCGGCCGAGAAATAATATTTCACGGACGAACGCGAATTTAAATAGTTTTGAACATATTTAAACATACCGCCCCCCTTGCACGAATTGTGCAATACCCGGAGATCGCGGTAGTCCCGTACGGTCACTATTTTACGCGAAGAGAGAGAACTCGCGCACTTTCAATTTTAAAAAATCAAAAGTACTTACTGTTGACCTGCTGCAGCTGCTTGATGCGGGTAGCGCATCGAGGTGGTCAACGTTTGGTCGGCCATCGCTTTTGTGAAGGCCAGACCACCGAAAGGCTGCCACCCTCGCTTCCGTTTTTTGGCGGCGGTGGGCCCCTGCTGCGGCCGGCCGCTGGAGGACGTGCCGCTGGTGGAAGGGCCGCTGGTGGAGGGCCCGTGTTTGCAGGGGCTGCCCTTGCTGGCCTCTTCCTCTTCTTCCTCGGCCGCTTGGCCTGGTCGGCGGGGGCGGCCATGGGGGTTGCGGACGTCCCTGGCGGGGGCGGTCTGGTCGACGCTGCCGTGGCTGGGGTCGGCGGCGGGGCCGTCTCCTCGGTTTTGTCCGCCTTGAAGTTGCAGGACCGGAGGCGGCCCTCTGGTCCCCACCGGAGGACATACTGTCCTCCGGGGACCCTAACGTGGTATTTCTTTGCGGCGGTGAGAACTCGGGCGGGAATGTAATATGGTTCCCGGCCGAAGCAGACCATCACCTTTTCTTCGCTGTTGCTTGGTGCTGCCGGGGTGGTCTCCCCAAGCCGCAAGATCCTCCCGAATCGTTCGTCGATTTCGGGGTCACCCGAAAGCGACACGGCGGTTTCTTCCGCGCACGACGTGGTAGCTTCCGAACTTGCGTCGCTCATCGTAGTATCTTTTGAACTGAACGATTTTCGGCTCCGCGAGTTCCGCTTAGTGTCGGGGGCGCTCGGATTGCTAGGCGCGCCCGACCAATCATCCAACTCAGATCGGTGGATTCGTAACCCCCACTAATCCGTTTGAACTTCAAGTGACAACGGTCAGGTGAAAATCAACGTCGTTTGTTTCTAGAAACGATCGTTTCTCACCTTCCGATCACTTTCAGCCGTTGGATGTTATGGTTTTTATGTGACCTAGTCGGCGTCGCTAACCGTCGCCGACTCGGTATCTTCCACAGGCAGCTTACACAACCGCGTTATAGGTCGCGTAAAAATGGATTTTGCCGTGCGTATTTTAACCACACGTGCATTTCCATCCCTGCCGGTGTATACCTCCTCTACTCGCCCCATTTCCCATTGATTCGGGGGCAGGAGAGGGTTTTGCACCAAAACTAAGTCGTTTAGTTTTAATGTTTTTTGGGCTGTACGCCACTTGTAACGATTCTGGAGGTGCGTGAGATAATCACGTGTCCAATGCCTCCAGATTTGTTCATGGAATTTTTGAATCGCCCTCCAACGTGTCAAACGAGAGAGTTTTTCAATTTCCACGGATTGCGTCGGAAGCGCGTTCAGCGGACTTCCTACTAAGAAGTGTCCCGGTGTGAGCGGCGCATAATCGTCCGGGCTATCACTCAAAGCGGCAATCGGTCGCGAGTTTAAACTTGCTTCGATTTTACAGAGCAACGTCTGTAATTCTTCGCTTGTGGGAGTGAATTCGCCCAGCGTCCGCTTAAGGTGAAATTTCACCGATTTCACGCCGGCTTCTTGCATGCCACCGAAGTGCGGTGCACTCGGTGGGTTAAATTTCCATTTAATTCCTTTCTGACTGCATTTATTACGCATTTCTGGCGTGTTGTACACAGCCTCGAAATTTTCACGTAATTCTCGATCTGCACCGACAAAGTTCGTTCCATTGTCACTGAAAATGCAGGACGGAACTCCCCTTCGTGCAATGAATCGATCTAACGCCGCCAAAAAGGCACTCGTCGTATAATCGTGGACGAGTTCGATATGGATAGCCCGTGTCGCGTAACAGACAAAAACTGCTATATACGCTTTGTGGGCGGTTTTCCCTCGACCGGCGGAGTCGCGGACACGAAAAGGTCCAGCATAATCCACTCCGCAGTTCGAAAATGCTCTCGCCTCGCGGCAACGCTCCGGTATTAAATCCTGCATGATTTGCGTGGGAGTTTTTGCCCTCCATCTAACGCATCGCATGCATCCGTGGATTACCGTTCGCGCTGCATTTCGACAGCCGAGAATCCAAAATTTTTGTCGCACCGTATACATGGTTAACTGCAATCCCCCGTGCAACGTATCAACGTGGCACTGCCGAATTATCATCGTGGAAACGTGATGTTTCGGCAAAATTATGGGATGCTTGGACATTTTCTCTATGTCGGCCACCAACACGTATTCATACAGACGCCATCGGGTCAAGACTGACGTGATGTCGTTCTGCAATTTTGGACCTACGTGTAGGATGTCATTTAACGAGCGACAGCCTGCAGTTCGGCTTGTCGCGTTAAATACGACTCTTAATTTTGTCGTTGCACTTTCTGTGCGTACGACCGCTCGATGTGGAATATAGAGTCTGGTCTCGTCAATCGGCTCGATTCGAGTCATATGACCCAGCTCTTCATATTCCGAGAGAAACGTTGTGTATTCTCGTACGAGGGTCTGATCTGCGTCCAATTTTTTCCTCAATCTCCCGAGAGCGGAGACAGCGATGCGATAGGAATTTCCTAGCGCTTCGTCCGGTCTCGGGTGAGTAAAAGGTAATCGGACGACAAATCGTCCTGTGGCATCACGAGCGACGGTTTTTTGGAAGTGCGTTTCACACTCCTCCTCCGCCTTGGTGCGTACCGAGGTCGAAGGGAGTTCTTCGACTTCCCAAAACTTTCGAATCGCCGTGTCCAGCGATTCGAGGACGTTGCAGTGCAATGTCCGCAAAGTTTTGTTAATTTTGCCCTTTGCATTTGTCGGGCCGGACAGAATCCAGCCAAATGCAGTTTCTTGGGCCACTGGACCCGTACTGCATATTCGACGGAAACCCGGTCGAATAATTTGCGCGTACAAGTCCGCGCCGATCAACACTTCAATCGGTTGACCGGAAGCAGGGTCGGGATCTGCGAGCGGTAGGTCCTTTAGCGCGTCGCATTTGAGCGCACTTGCCAACGGCGAGACGTAGCTCGTGATTTTTTGCACGATATACGCTTTCGTCTTGACCGTCGGCTCGGTACCTTCTACCGTTCCCAAATTCATCTCGACGCTGAATTTAATTGTCTGGGTTTTGCCGCCCCCCCAAGCCAGTCACTGTGGCTGGGGGTTTCCTCCGCAAGAATTTGAGGTCATTCGTCAAATTCGCGGAGATGAAGGACGACTCAGAACCCTGATCTATCAGTGCGCGTACGATTCGCGACGCACCGTTTATTCCGTACACACGTACGTTCGCCGTGGCTAACAACACAGCCGTCGGTACGTCTGCACCTATCGCGGTACAGTGTGACGTACTAGGCTGTGACGTCGTTGCCCGTGACGTCGTGGTACGAGCAGCTCGTTCGGCTTGCTGCGGCCGGCTTGGTGGGGCCGTAGACCGCTTTTTCTGGCGTTTGTCTTGCGAAGCCATTGTCGCGGGTTTGCGACTTTCGGTTTCGCTCCGAAAGGACTCGAAATGCAGCAGAGAATGATGTCTGCCATTGCATTTCGTACATGCCTCTTCGGAAAGACAACGCGCGTTCCCATGCTGAGGTGACAAGCAGAGAATGCACCGCTGGCTATCTTTTATAAATTGATAGCGGCGGTTCGGCGTCAAATTACGGAATGCACCACATTGGGTCATTCTGTGTTCGAGGCCGCAAAATCCGCAAGTCACGCTTTTTCCAGCGGGGCTTTCTAGAACGGAGTTGTGACTCCGTATTTTGTGCTTTTGTGGGTGTTCGGTCGCAGGCTTGCTCGGACCATCGTCTAACATGGTCAGAGCCCGTGCATGCCCCTCCAGGAATTCTATCAACTCGGTGTGCGAGGGATAGTTCGGGGAGAGACGCTGCGACCTTTCCCACTCAGCTTTAAGAGACCCTTCCAAGTGGCTTCGAATGCTGTGGGCCAGCAGCCAATTTCGCTGCTCTAAAATTGTGCCCTGCTTTTCGAGCGCCGCGAGGGCCTGTTTGAAAACGACGACGACCTGGTTTAGGCTGTCCAGATCATCTCTTTTGATCGTTTTCAATTTTGTTAATTGACTTAGCAATTTGGCAGTCACGATACGTGGTATCCCGAATTGTTCTTTCAGGGTTTTCCACGCCACCGTGAAATTATCATCGATAACTTCGAGGTGCGCGATCGCCGCCAACGCTTTGTCCTCCAGACAGGCGTTCAGATACTGCAATCTGTGCACATCTGACAGCCTCGGATTATTTATTATTCCGGAGGTGAAAAGATCCTCGAAATGTCTCCATTTTCGTGGATCACCTCCGAACTTGGGAAGGCGTTGTTTTGGGAGTTCGATTGCGACATCATGTGAGCTGACCGACGTTGTTGCCGCTTTTGATTCAGCGGCCAGTCTGGTCAGCTCCGTGGCAACGTACTCCTGAAACTCCATAAACTCTTCCTCCTTAGCTTCTACGCCACCTTTTGCAAGGAAGTCGCACGTGTTGCGCTTCGCAGGGGCATATTTTCTCCGAAGAGCCAAGTACTGCTGTATAGCCTCCTTGTACTGTTCGGTTACGGTGGCGAGCCTTGTTTTGAGGATCTCCTCAGTGAACTGGGCTCGACCACGTTTCTTTAAATAAGAGATCGCTGTTCGCGCCCGAATTGTTGTAGGTGGGATTGGAGTGAATGCGATGTCGTCGTGTTGGAGAGTTTTCAAATGGTTTATTTTTAATAATAACAAAGTGGACTGTATGAATGGTTACAAAGCGCGTTGAACTGTGGGAGGAACTGTTTCCCCCGCGCTTACTTTAACAAAATGCGTTCAACTCAAGTAAAACTGCTGTACTGTTACAGACTTGTTAGTTAGACTTGTTAGACTTAGTCGGTTAACGACTGAACCGAGAATTGAAACTGGTTTGTCGGTTGGCGACTGAAACTAGAATCCAAATGTATCCGGAGTCCGTTTCCTCCTCAGCTTAGATCCCCTCCAAGAGGTACACTTGGGGGTGTTTTGCAAATTCCTCTGTGGAATCGTGAGTCGATTGATTGGCCATCGACTTGGGAGAGGAGGACCCATTTTCCTGCCCCAGTTTGGCAGCAAGCTCCTCCTTCACCTCGGTGGTGGAGGAAAGTCCCAGGCCACGCTGGCGAGGGTGGCCGAGGTTTCCTCCCCAAGTCGACGGCCGCGTTAATTTATCGAGGAAGAAACGGAACTCCGAATTATCCACGCAACAAGGGGTTGCGTCTGGTCTACGTCTGTTTTTATGGCTATATTGTTCCGCGTGTCGGCGATGGCCGTTGTCGTCGGTGCCTACATTTGGCCTCGACGACCGTACCACCCGCGGAACAATATAGCCCTTCGCTGGTCAACTCGAGTGTCGCGTTTCTTTCGTTTTCCAAAATGCTATTCTTGCACATTGACATTTGCCAGATGCGAGAGACTCGAAGACGTTTGCAACGTAGTACCGATCCCGCATCTGGCAACATAAAGGACCGGAAACAACTCGAGTTGGCCAGCGGAATGAGCGAGCTTTCGTTTACCGAACAATCGCCTTTGTCATTAAGTCGAACCGGGTGATTAGGTCGTCGAGATCGACATCGAACTCGCTTCGACCTTCAGCCTTAGACACAGACATGCTGATCTCTAATTCGAGGATTGGGTAATCGACTCGAAATTAAGCGTCTCGTAAGCAGCGACTTACGTGAACGCACTTGCAACTCTTTCCTGTTCTTTCAACCTCAATCCGGCTCGAAGGACCGTTTGTTAGAATCTAAGGGTTCTAACCGGGGTCCGGATGAGG